GTCATTCAGAAACCTATTGTTCAAGTCGCTTTCTGATTGACTGTTTTGCGCTGAATTTATAATGAGCAATTCTAAAAATAGCACCAAGAGGGGTAAATGCCGTTCCAAGAGCTTATGAAGAAGAGGAAGGCTCCTAGTAATGGGCTCCTGCTGAAATACAATTTTTAATTTTGGTATGTAACAACAACTCTCCATTCAAAGTCAGTGTCAGTCAGTCAGAATTTCGATTCACACAATTAGTCTCAATCAGTCTCAGCCAATCAGAATGCATGTAGATTGCTGATGTCAAGTATATGATATTTCCTGTAAATATGCTCGGCCTGTCAAGTACCTTGATGTGTCATTTTAAAGCCACGATRACTTCCGGTAGCATCAGTACGCATGCGTATAAGCATGACATGACCACGTGACGTAAACACTGATCGTGTTAAAGATGAACCACAAAGTCTGGATATTCTTGAAGTGTTTGTAACTTCGGGTCCATCGTGAAGCTCAACGTAATCCTTTGTACAGTTTAGCGATTCCTTGACCTTAATAATAATAATAAAAGGATTTTAATAAAGTAGCGCTTTCGAATAGCTTTTATAAGCTTTTATAAGCATTTATTCATTAAACTTCAGTAGGAAGGAATCGGTTTAGATAGAAAGGCTACTTTAAAGGCCATTCTCAGTCACTTCAGATTCAAGATGGCGGAGGCTCCTTATGCACGTGACAGTAGCCTAGCAGAAATCTCGAAGTTATCTCTTTTGGATTGACGAATTTGTTTGATCTATGTTATCAACCACTTTTTATAGTTTTTGATTGATTATAAGTAAAAAAAAAAACATTTACACTTTTATCATACACCACTGACTGAGAGCAGCCTGGAGACGACAAGCTATTCATTAACTTCAGCTTTTGTGCATTTTAAACCCTGGATGCGTTTGTATATATTATTTAGTTTCTAAAAAAGGTAGAAAATTAAAAATTAAAATATAAACAAAATGTATTCTGTATATTTTGTTATTCATGTGTCAACCAGAAGACGATTGGATGTTAGAACAAAGCGACTAGCGAAAAGCCATTCTGATCGTGTTTGGCACATTAACATAAGAATGAGTTTGTCGATAAACATTTTAAGTATCGCTATATACCTAAAAACTAAGTATAGCAGATGGAACTGGTCATTTTTGTTAGCTGGCTATTTTCTAGAGCAAGAAAAATATGCACAATTTGAATGAAAGGAAATTGACTTTTATTCGATTTGATTTGAGTTTGTGTAAGCTGGTTCTCTTCCTTGCTCCGAGGGTTTTTCTCCTGGTCCGCTGGTTTTCCTTCCTCCATCAAAATCTAGCTGTGAGGAGTGTCGTGCAGCAAAATAATGATCGAATGTTGAGGTAGTGAGTGTGAGTGAATATATAGAGGGCCACAAGTTTACTAGTCTAGACACTATTACGTGCTACCTTCTCAAAATAAAAGAGTTTTATTTATTTATTATTTCCAACGTATCTTTGACCACACTACTCAAATAGATTGTTTAAAGCAGCATAGTGGCAGACACATGTTGTATATGCTACTAGCGTTTTCTTGGTAAAAGTACAATACGAGTATAAACAGCACAAAAACTTTTGTACTGATATATACAAAAATTATGTCGTTCAAAAAGAGGGTGTATGTCCGCACCCAAAGCACCTCCCCTGGATCCGTCCCTGCATGTTCTCTAAACGAATTTCATCTTCTCGTGTTGAAAATCTAGCTCACTCGTGATGGATCTTTTCAACACTCGATCCATATCTCCGCGCGCCAATGTAATTTCCTCCATATATATTTCAATTTTCCCATCCATGCATTTATTAAACCTGTCAAAATCTGAGGAAACACGCACCCCTCCCACCTCTTCTTACCAAAATTTACAAAAGAAATGCATGGTAGGGTTTCAATTGCAGTATTTGCTGAATAACCTTACCGAGAAATCTTTGAATGTTATCTCAATGATGTTTCCTTGTTGAACAGTTACCAACCAATAGCAGTCCATGTTTGCGGGATAACCGGATTTATAACCAGTAGAAACGAATGTTCCTTTCCACGAGGCTATCCTGTTCCGACATGAAGAATTTGCACTCGCTGTGGAATGATTCATAAATATATATCTAGCTGATTCCTTGAAAAGTAAGCAGTGCACATTTCAGGGCGAATCGAACATGATGATCCTGAACATGACACCGAGTTGAGAGTCAATTAGGCCATTCTCGAACGACTAATGTATGCCACTAATACAGTGCTATATTCCTAGAAGCAGACTACATTGAAATACAAACATAGAGTGCACGTCACATAAGCATGAAACAATTCTTAACTAATTAGCGCCTAATAAGATTTAGTTATCAACTAACTAAGAGTTTAGTGAGGCATAAACAAAGACAAGCTTCCTTTCTGGCATTGTGTTCATGCCCCAGTGAATTCTTAGTTAGTCGATAACTAAATCTTATTTGGCGCTAATTAGTTAAGAATTGTTTTATGCTTATGTGACGTGCACTCTAACTTCCAAATTGGAAAAAACTGTATTATTCTCTATTCATATATATTCCACCGGTTCGAATTTCTCAGGAGGACCAATATGGATCTTTCAAAAAGGGTTGTCAGGGAAACAGCATTTGGAAAGTTATTGATCAATATAAAAAAAAGAAAAAAAGTGGCGCGCTACGCTGCGGCAGCAACAACTCTCAAAACGATAAACATATATTTTCCGTTTTTTTTTTTTTTTTTTTTTGAATTCGCTATTTTTTGTCGACTTGTATATATTTGTACGTTTAAGGCACAGCTAGCAATAGATATCAAAGTTTGGCCGTGACTTATCGCTGTTGAGCAATGATTGCACTACTTAATCTAGTATAAAAGTTTGTTGTGATAGTCAAAGACACTTCTATTTTTGGTGGATTCATTATATAAAATAATAAGAATGCTTTGGCAACGGTCTCTCCGATAAACATTCTCTAAATTAGTCATGTTATTTTTTTATTGTCCTCTTAGTATATTGTCCTAAAAAACATTTTCGCCAGTTGTGTACAAATAAAAAACATAGCAATACTTCTTCAGACAAAAAAAAAATAGGAAAATGTATGTTATTGTTTGTAATAATTGGAATGTAATGTAAATCATTGTGCACAGCTGTATACTTGTGAAATGAGAATTCTTGCCATCTATCAGTTACATATACATAACGGTTTACGCGCCTTTCTTTCAGAATATATTTCGTATCAATTCATGTAAGTCATCCGCGGACGGTAGTAAAACTGGCTCAAAAAAGATAATCCTAAAGCTAGATAAATTAGTGCATTCAAGATATAGAAAAACCTCGAAAAGGAACAATTTCGTACTTTAAATTGTACTTAATTTGTAAGTAGTATGACTTGTTTTTAAAGGGTTTTTATATGATAATTTCGGCTAGCATCCATACCTAGGCTCCCTTGAATCGTTCCAAAGAGAATAGTAATACAGGTGATGAGGATTTTCATCTGATTGTAATCCATACGAAGAATTTATCTAGTTTCGAATCCCCAAGTCTGTAATCTTTCGTTTCTTAAGTTTGAGTATAACGTTAGAACTATAAATAACTAATGATCTAACTTTAATGTGGTTTTGGCTATTATACGTCTCATAGAATTTATTCGATGCTTTATAAAGGATGTGACAAATCAGGTGTTAGAGCTACGCAAACATTTGGAAGTATGTCTGTTGTACACAACCTATTTTCAGTGTAAAATACTTCTTGTGCTTCACCAATGTAGAACGAAAAAAGTAATATCTTACTACTAGAAACTCAGTGCTTGCTTGTTTTAGCATCATCTTCGAAGCACAGCGATAGAAATTTTGAATTGACTTTAACTGTTTCCGAAGATTCGCAGTTCTTTAGAGAAATAGTTTGTAAAGTTTGAATTTTTGCGAGACTCGGGGCAAAACTTTGTTAAATATTGAATTCCTCATTTTTGCACCCAGTTTCACGTACACTGGCGAGTTTTGCAAAAATTGGCTCAAAAATAGCCATGGGTAAACGGGACTTATAACACGGTCATTTTATAAAAAGTTCTTTGTTCACGAAACCGATCGAGCTAGCGTTTTACAGATTGATTTAGTATACAACTAACTATAAAGAAAAAATATTAGATTTTTTCCAGTGATATAGCTATTTCATAAAAGGTTTTCGGATAAAATGGCGAATGGCAATTGTTGAAGGGAAAGTAGACTTGGGCTTTGCTAACTGATGAGAATTAACAAATGATCTATACTGTAAGTCTGTGGAAAACTTAAATTCCATTTATTAGTAGTGGTGAAATTGACATTCTGGAACACATACTCATGCGTAACGAGATTTTTTTACTTCATTTTATTTTTATTTTTTAAGTTAAAAAAGTTTTAGATTGAAAGGTAGATGTTTTGTTAGTGGAAAAACAAGAAAAAAAAGTTTAAAGAAGTTATTTATATGTCTAGACGCCGTAAGTTACTTAAGACGTCACTGTACTTAGCGTATATGTTAAGGGACAGAAATTTCCACATATATTTTTATATCTTTCTCAATGTTTTTATTACGGAAATTACTCAATAATTATTAACAAAGGTTTGCGCATGTATTTTGTACGATATACAAGCCCGCGTTATTTTCAAAGGCAAGATACAACAGGTCAGTCATATGYTTGTCTCTTGAGCACGTACACCTACGGTCAAAGTTGTGTAACCTCGTGTTAGGTTATGGCGTGTACGACCCTAACCCCCCGATGTTTATTAAGTTAATCGCGTATTTAAATATCGGTCTAAGTCGTATAAACCGATGTACCTGTTGACCTTTTGACAACCATGCGTTGCCTTATATATCGTACTTTAATTGTCGTGAAACCGATTTCTGTGAAAGTCTTTTAGGAATGATATTTTATTGATTTTCTTATCGTTAATTATGAGGCAACACCTCTATCCTATTCTCAGTTAATGTCAGATAATTTTGACGTTTTTGACGTGATGCAATTATGAGACAAATCCGCATAAAAACGGGTGCAAATGTAATTTAGTGCTAGGAGAAAGAGTTTTCCAGAGTTTCAACTACAATTTGTATTGGAGCCTACATTAAACATCTTATCAAGTCTCTACCGTTTGCTAGTCCTTTAATATATATAGCTTGTGTGGTTTCTGTCGAAAATCAAATGTTGTTGAGTATCATTCCACACATTTACTGTTGGCGGATTCGTGCGTTAGACACTCCATTGTGGTATATTCAAGATCGAATTGAGTTTCGAGAAAGAGATGGAAACCTCAATCTGAGTTCAAAATTGGAAGTCAGTTTCATGATTGAAAGTAAAGATCATTAACATATGTGTATGCAAATCTTTGTCAAAAGTTAGTCTTGGAAGATTTGGTCAAGTCAGCGAGACCATCTCTGTTGTATCCTTAGCGACTTTGAAGTTTCCAAATTCCACCTTAATCAAGTTAAGAACAAAATTGTTATTAATTTTCTCTTTGGACTGTGTTCATTTCGTCAATTCCCCCATTTGGTTACTTAGGGGTGTAGAAGATTTTGAAAAAAAATTCCTGCACGGCAAAATTTTGAAAAATCTCCACTCCTACTCTCTATGAATAGAATTCCTACACTTAAAATTTTCCGGCGCTATTTTGACTTGTAATAAATGAACATGATATCACATCGTGCAGGTTTTTTCTTGTTGTTGCTGTTTTTTTTTTCTTCACTGTGTTGTTGCGGTTGTCGTCAATGTGGTAATTTGTGCAATTATAAATTTCATCATATCTCTTTCTTAAAAAAAAAATTATTGAGAGTATCACTTAGTGTTACTTTCTCTAATTTGTAAATTAAAAAAAAACAACAACAACAAAAGGTCTAGAAGGTATCATCTTAGTTCTACCTTCCCTAGTGTCCTCCTGCAGTTTTTCAAAAATCCCATCTTGATATCATTTCCATACCAATTCTGAGAGGAAACGTAACATAAAGCTTTACTTCAAATCAGTGAATCGACGAAGATGTAAATGTTTTCATTCGGCGAAAGCAGTACACATTCCGTTGCTGGTTTTACCTACCTTTTTCTAATTTTTTTGCGTCCAGTTGACCTTTTGACAGACATGCAGCCTTTCTCCTCAAAGAACACGTAGTTTATGATTCATCTAAGGTCACTAAAAAAGCAATTTTGATGTACAAAGAAAGAAAGAAAGTCGCCCGCCGTCGTCCGCCATTTTTTTCACATTTTGTCAAACCTGACAACTTCGTCTTTCGTTAAAACGTGAACTGCAATTGGCTGGTTGACAAAGCCATTGAAATGTTTGAGGTAAGGAGAAACCTAGTTTTGATCATAAAAATTATACTCGAATTCTAAAGTTTTTAAAGCCACTATTTTAGAAAAAAGAGTTATTTTATAAAAGCAATAGATAACTTTTTCCGTGTTTACATAGCCTGATGCAAACACGAGGGTAGGTTGGGAGAATTCGAGACGGTTATGCAAACCCGAGACGAACTATTACTTAATTGTTTAAAAAAATTAAGGTCTAAAAGATATGGGTTAATTTAATTTTAGCTGTAGCATTTCTTCATGGCAAATCGGATTATTAAATTGGCATTTAAAAAGAATTGCCCTAAGTGTGTACATATGAATTAAAAGAAAGTTTGATCACATAACATTAACATTAAAAAGCAACTAAATACGGTTTGCCCTGGTTGTGTAGTTGTCAAGTCTCAGTGTGTATTTCTGTTTCCGTGATATCAACTATAGTTAAAAAATAGACACTAAAATCTACTGTTTATTTTGATTATACTTCACGGTACAAGTGCATTGACTCCAATAATTATAAACCATTTTAAATGGTTTAGAATTGTCAATAAATGATAACAAAAAAAAGTTAATCTTGATTATTTTACTATAACTTTTCCACTAGGGTATTGCTGCTATGACGATATTTGTTTTAATGTCAACATCATCCTAGTCATTARTGCTCGGTATAGTAACTAAAACCGGCTCTGCCATTATCAGTATCAGTCCGACTATTAACATCATTCCCTATGATACAAGAGAGTGAAAGAATTAGTATTCTTGGCATGCAAGTTACGTCATCATTACGTCATCATAGCTTTGTTCTTTATTTCTCAGGGGATTCTTGGTCACGTGGTTGCACACCAAGAATAGGAAATCGCACGATCTCCTGTACAACTTGGAATTAATAGTCACGAGTAATGTTTTGAAGGTTCGTCGTAATTGCACGACATTGAGTTGAAAAGTGAGACCCGAATCACTATTTTGTGCCTTAGAACACATATCATATATATCGAATGATATTAACTGTATTAACTTGACATTAGCTGAGAACCTTTTAATTCAGTGATTCGAGTTCCAATTTTTAAAAGACGCATTGTTCTCTGAAACTCCATGCATGAATGAAATGGAGAGGAAGCCAGGATAAGGAAAAAAAATGGAAAGGAATAGAGCAAGGTTTGACGAACAAAACACTACTGCAGGTCCGTCAAATACGAGTCTACATAACGTGCGGGCTGCAGTTCGCGGGTCGCAATTTGCGGGCTGCGGGTCAAAATATGCGGGCTGCTGACACAATTTGCGGGCAACAGGCACAATTTGCGGGCAACAGGCACAATTTGCGGGCTTTCAGTCACAATTTGCGGGCTGCAGGTCTCAATTTGCGGGTTTTTATTTATGTGATTCCACCAAACATGCACCCCTTCCCCCCAAAAGAATTCAGGTCAGTTCAAAAGAACATCCTACCGCTCTCTAAATTACAACTTTGAGCGAAGGGAGTATACGAAGTTATTTCAACATTCAGCGATTTTTAAAAGATTCTCAGCACTTTTTGCCTGTTTGCTCCCATCACCTATTTTACAGTCCAATGAATAAAGCTCCAAACAAATACCAAAGTAGCTAGTAATCACTGAGCTGAAACGATTTTCAAATTATTATCATTTTAAGGCGGCTCAATACAAGATACAAAAACATTTCTGTTCAAGTTTAGGTTCGATTTTTCTCTTTTTTCATCGCGCGCGATAAACTTGYCACACAACAAAAACCTCTATCCTCTAATCTATTTTTAAACCAGTTTATTTGAAAGTAATCTTTAATCCACTTTCTTTGAATATATAATGGCATGCATGCACAACAATAAAAGTCGATTCTCTACATACGGACGCTCCCATAAGCGTACAGTTCTACTTTTACGGACAGATTTTCAAAACCTGTTTTCCCTCTCATACAAATGCTGTATTTATATTTTAATAGAAAAAAAGAGGGCTTTCTCGTAAGCGGACGCGGACACTTGTAGCGATTCCCAGGTGACGTTTTCCATTGTTTTCAATCTCCCGTAAAGCGGACACTTAAATTCAATATGATCTATTTATACTATTAATAATATATAAGTTGTCAGTTTTATAGCATGCTTGTGAATGATAGGACTGACTATACATGGAGCTGAATTACACATCTTCAGTTTGGATTTGAGCCAGTTCATCGAAAATTCATCGCRGATAAAGTGATAATCACACGACAAAGTCATAGCCACCTACTATGTAAAGGCA